TCTCATAAAAGGATAAATGGAAGAATTTAAGATATTATTTGAGATATAATTCAGAGGATTACTTGTGTAAACAATTTCTGCAGCATCTGAAGTAGGTTGATCTTCTTCCTCAATAGTCTTAAGAGCTTAAGTTGTAGATTTTTATAGCACAATAGAAGTACCAACATCATAAGACCCTTAGCTTCTTTCTCCATAACTTTTGCCTCAACTTCAACTTCTACTTGCCTCAACAGAACTTCAATAATAGAAGTTTATTCCATATCCTAATTGAGAAAAACAAATGCAATCAATCTAGCCCTTTATTTCACAACATTGGTTCTCTTAAGAAGAGGTTCTTCATCTTCTTCTTCTTCATCATCTTCTTGCAACACCATTTCCTCAACTTCTTCTTCTTCACAGCCAATTTAGAACTGGTTATCTTCAGAGGTATTTTGCTAATGGATCGAGTCCTTGTCTTGGTAGGCATTAAGAAAGTTTTGGATTCCACATCTTTAAACTCCATCTGGACCACCTTCTGATGTACAACCTTATTCTTAGGTGGAATCTGAACCACCTTCTCAGTTTCAGAAGCAGTTTGCTTCCTTTTTCTTGAAGGCTTGTATACACTTCCTGCTGAGGGTTCAGGAATGTCATCCATAGTCAGAATGACTTCATCCTCTTCCCTAGCCATCTTGATCTATTTCTGAATAACTTCAGGATTGTACAACTTGTAAATAGTTGGGAAGTCATTAATATATGCAGTCTTGACATTCGTGATTCTGAGACAAGCAGAAGGTTGAATCATATCTCTCTTCTTGATAATATTCATATTCCTCAGCACAGTAGCTGGGAGAACATTCCTATATGTTTTCTCCATATCTTCTGTAGGACCAAAACTCATTAGAGTATCAATCATCCTACTCTGATGAAACAATTCATAAAGAAGCCTTGCATAAAGCACATTCTTCTTATCATGTTTTGTACTTTCTTTGATAGCTTCACACATATGATTGAAGATGTATGACGAAAGGTTGATCATTTCCATTTTGACCAAAACCCAGATGAAGTGCTTGTGATCCCAAGAGATTTAATCAGTACTCCCTTCTCTTGGATCAAGCAACCAATCAAGATTTTGAATAGAAGTTTGTACTCAATCTCCATGTTCTTCACTTTTTCATTGTCTTTAGATTTGAGAAACAAACATTTCTTGATCACCCTAGATTCTAGGCTACTATAGTGTTCAAAGCACATCTTCCAATTTTATCCATACTCAAAAGCTTGGAAATGTGACTCTGAGTGATAGTCACATTTATCCCCCATCATAGAAGATCTTATCTCCACCTTCTTGAATTCTTTCAAACCAACCCTTGAGTTCCCCTTCAGATTTATATTCTAAGCAATCTTCTGATTCTCTTCAAGAGTAGCAACACCTTTATCATAAACTTTAGCCTTAACTTAGAAATTCTTCACAATGTAGGGAAAAGATGGACCATTTAGCATATCAATGTAGTTCATCCAACCTTGGGCTTCAAAATAGGTTTTTAATGGATACCCATTAACCCTAAAAAACTCAAAGTCAACAATTTATTCAATGATCAGCTTTAGATCCTCTTCTCTGAGCTTCAAAGTTTTGGGCTTGATTTTGATGCCCTTTCCGTAATCTACCACCATTGGAGCTTGATTTGATGAAGAAGCCATTGAAATAGAGTTTAGGGTTCTAGAGCGGTTTTGAGAAAAATGAGTGTTTTTCTAAGGAGGCTTGAAAACGAAAGTGTTGGTATTGGTGTTTGCGTTAGAATTTTGCAAACAAATCTGGGTTTATTTTAATACTTAACGAATCAAACTCAAAAATCTCCTGGACATATTTGTGTGTTATTTTTCGTTAAAAATAAGGGTAGTCTTCGAAGTTAACACAAACTTCTAGGACGACGTTATGATTTCTCAAGAAGAAACATAACGGAAAGACAAGGCAAAATGCAAATAAAATGTAAGGTAAGATAAAGTAAAAGGCATGAAGTTAAAATGCGAAAGAAGTAAAGTTTCCTGAAAAAATAAAAGCAGTCAAAATAAAGTGGAAGGAAACATAAAGGCAGTCGAAGGAAAAAGGGGTTTAAATGCATAAAAAAGAAAGACTTTTTAAGATAAAAAATAATGAAATGTATTAAATTGGTGTAACACACACGTACATTTTTCTCACTCGTTTCTCATAGCGTAACTACTTTGAGTTTAATGGAAATGTGTTCAATTTGCGCACCCCTTACAAAATAAGCCTAAGTTGCTATATATGCAAGTCTAAAATAATTGTACAAGACTACTAAATTATCTCCACGATGGCACGTCTTTAGATCATGTAGCGGTTCTCTCTCCGACGTGCCCCACGTTCTAAGTAACCATCAACGCTGATGTAGTAGTTCCTGCCTTATTCTTTCTTTTGAACATTTCAACTGCTTTGTCGGCGCTAAGAACTAAAGAACCTCGTTGAAACCTCCGACGTCGACCATGTTAAGGTAACATGTCTCGACGTATCGTCCATTGTAGTGATGAACTCTTTTCCAACGTGACATAGTATTCAGTTTCACTACGTGGCTAGTGTAGCATAGTATTCAATTTCACTAAGGCCTCATGCTTCTTATGTTCTTCGACCATACCACCTTCGACCAGCATCACCTTAGGTGATTTCCGACCATGAGTCACGTTGACCATGTCGACTCGTTCTATTTTTATCGTCCACATGACCTATTTATGGCTAGCCTCATAAACACTTGTCATTTATAGTTTAGACGAAAAATCTAATGTAATAATTGGAGAGAGGGAGAGATATAGATAGATAGAGAGAGTGTGTATGTGTGTGCCTGTGTCTGTGCGTGTGTGTGTGTGTGTGTGTGTTTGTGTTTGTGTGTGTGTGTACAATACTGAAACGTTTGAGTGCCTTTTAGTGTATACAGTTTTTAGTTTTGAAATAAACATAAGTAAATGACAAATGGGCGTGTGACACAATATTCAAAACAATTTCATCCTTATCCACCAGTTATTACCCAACAACTAAGAAACCAAGTGTTAGAAAATCTTTCAAATTCATGACACATAAGTGGACAGGTTTTAAAAATTGATTTTTCCACTTATATGCTATCAAAGACAACTAATCAAATTCTAAGCATAAGAGGCTGAGTTGCATCAGATGTTACTGTTCATCAGAAGTTAGTTCAGAGCTTTTGATCACAGTAACTTCTGATCATCATCAGACTTTGATCCTCCATTCAGAAGCAAGAACTAATATTTTACAAAATGCATATTCAAATTCTTTTTAATAAAATTAAATCTTTCAATAGTAAGACGCTTGGTAAATATATCAACCTATTGATTATTTGTATCAATGAACTATATATCTATCACACCCTTTTGAACATAATCTCTAATAAAATGATGTTTTATTTATATGTGATTGGTTCTAGAATGTTGAATAGAATTCTGTCAAACAAATAGCAGCAATATTATCATAAAAAATAGGAATATTGCTTCCACTTATTTGATAGTCTTCGAACTGATATTTCATTCAGAGTAGTTGTGTGCAACAACTTGCAGCTGAGATGTATTACAATATTTTATTTATTTATTGTACTTTTATCTATTAAAGATCTAATTTAAAAATAGAACAGGTTCTCCATAATGTTAGGGCCACCCTGATAAGGAGAAGCAATGTTTGTTTCAACATAATGATTCGTGAACAATTATATATTAATAACGTTCAAATGTATTGCCAAGTGTTCTGAAAGTCTAGTGGTTGATGCGCGAGTCTAGCATTTTTGATGTCTTATGTTCGATTACCAACCGGTGCAAATGGTTTACAATATTTTTATTGTTCAAAATTAACTAGCCTATATATATATATATATATATATATATATATATATATATATATATATATAGAGAGAGAGAGAGAGAGAGAGAGAGAGGGGAAAATCTGTCGACTTTAGAAATCGAGTCCCTCTATCCCCAAAAAATTACCCTCTGATATTATGTTATGGCTCTTTTTGGATTTACTTGACATAGACTCACAAGTAATTTCTTAGATTTCGGATGGTGCGTCAAGAATGATCGGGATAGCTCAGACGGTAGAGCAGAGGAATGAAAATCCTCGTGTCACCATTTCAAATTTGGTTCCCGGCAACTCATTATGTATGAGTATCTATTCCCATATTTCTTTTGAAAAATGGGAATAGTTCCTCTCTTTAGACCATCTGTAGCACTCATAGCTACAACTCTAATTCGATTATTTCCTAATAATCGTTGTATTTCACAAATTACGCGAATTTGTTGGCCAACCGTATCTCCACCTTGAACCATCAGAGCGTTGTAAATATAAGACATCTTCCCTGGTGGAAAAAGTACATCAAGTGGATTGGTTCATTTTTGGAATAAGTCTTCAACCAAACATGGCTCACACACAACATATGGTCAGAACCATCTTGTTAGCTCGAGGGCCCACATTGAGGCATGTAACTCATAACTCAAGTACATAACCCATGGTTTGAACACTGGCTCAAACCCAAATTGGGCTATCAAATTCTAATGAGGATGCCACAAATAGAAAAAGAGAAAAATGATGAAAACAAAACAAACACCTAAGCAAAGTTGTAGAAGGTGTGTGTGCAAAACAGAATTATGGTATGAAAAAGTCACAATTTCTGGAAATGGAGAAAACATGCATGTAATGGATTCCTTCCAGGCTGTTGAAGGATTGATAATGTGAGTCATGGATGCCATGGATATTCGCGAGCGTGATTATCCTCAACAGTTCAATCATTTGGAATCGAGCAGTGAAGACCGATTAGCCATAATTGAAACGGAAGTTGAATCGTTACTTCAGCGTGCAACAGAATAACAACACGATGAAACAAACTCAAAGAAAATAGTCCCTTGAATGAAAAATTGACTGCCTATACAAGAGAACTATTTGCCATTACTAAGACAATTTCTAAATTTAGGCATTATTTGTTGGAACTTCTAACCACATTAGTCTTCTATAAGTGATTATAAAAATTGTCATTGATCAAATTCGTTGAAGAGAGACTGAAAACAAGTGAAGCATCTTTGTTTTTCGGATTTCCTTCAATTATTGACAGAGTTTGTTCATCTAGATCGATAACAGCGGTGCATAGCGTGTGAAGCAATGGACCTATGAATCGGGAATGAGAAGAAAAAACAACGAAAATCAAAAGAAGATTGACAAGAAAAAAACTCAGATGGTGTATACAAATTACCTGTCATGTAAATCGGATATTTTTCGTTATCTGCATCTCCTAGAATTGATAGAAAATCTTCTCTTGTTGTTTTTGTCATTACGTTCGCCCTTTTCAGCCGGCTAATCGAACTCTCATCTTGTGCCTTCAATTTTGAAATCAAATAAATTTTTACCCATGTGATAAAACATGTTAATGACACAAAATTTCTCAGAAACTTACCTGATTAATATGCAAGTGTCTATACATATTTGCATGGAAGAAAGGTGTTTCTCCAACCTCGTGAATTGAAATTCGCTTCTTCGACGCAGTTTCAACGTTAACAATCCTACGAGTACTTAACTCAATCAGGTTATAAGAATGTCCCACCGAAACTTCTGATGAACGAATCCTCTGAAGAAACAAAAAGACCGTAACACATTGTAAAATCAAATCATAGGAGTACATAAAAATGAATTTATGTATAGAAATGCAAGGGCTGCAAAATCAAACATTTATAGCATCGTCAATGCCTTGAGCTTCAAGAATGTGTCGAGAAACAAAGTTGCGCCCAATTCCACCTGCTACAATTTCATCTTCAGCAGGTGGTACTGCATTCAGAGTGAACACCAATCCATTGCTATTAAAAGCAAATGCAGAACTTGGAAGCTCTCCGGCATACGTATATCCAACGAAGAACATTCCATCTGGCAATATTCCTTTGATTATGTAGCTGCACATATAAACTCCATAAAAGAGAAGAAAAAAAGTACTCATAAAGCCATTTTATTCAAATTCCAAAATCAAAAAGAATAGTATTAAAGTTCCGTCTAACTCATCTTTACAAAACCGACTTTTTAGGGCAAGGGGATTGTCCTCACTTATAAGCACATGTTCAAGTCATATATCATCAAATGTGCGACTTTTAATACACTCCCTCACGCATAGGATGGGACAGTTGAAGCGTGAAAATAAAATGTGGGTGTCTTGATAGCGAAAATCTAATAGCAGGTGATCTAACGGATCTTAAACTAGACTCTGCTAATTGAGTTTGACCTAACTCATTTCAAGCTCTATCTCTAAGTAATGTGAGATTTATACGAACTATATTTGAATGAAAGTCTAAAATCTTACGTGTGACCAACAAGGCTAACATTTGCATCTTCATTGTGTGCTGCAAGAGCCATAGACTCATTAACAACAAGAACATCAGAACACTCATTTGAGGAATCATCTTCTAAACTTTTCACTTCTTCTTTTGGAACAAATGGTAGAATCTCCTTCTTGAAATTAATAAGTAAAATCTGTTCACAAATAAGAAATTAAACATATTAATAAACATTACACTATCAAGTGTCAGACACGTACCAGACACCAGACACTATCAAGTGTCTGACACGTACCAGACACCAGACACATCGGTGCAATGCAAATATAATCCAACAAATTGAAGTAGTTTTTGTAATTACATCAAGGAGAGGCACGCCACTTCCTGCTGAAGTCCCCAAGAGTTCATCCCAATACATTGGGAATTTGGTTTGATTGTTATCAAAAAGTTGTTTTAGAAGTGATTCTGACGGAGGAGTTTGAGCAAAAGGTCGAAGCTGATTTTGAAGTATTGTATCTGCGGCAACTCTGTTTTTGATTCGTTGGGAGAATCTTTGGCCTATTAAGAACCCCATTTCGTAAAAATCTTTGCATGCTCCAACTTCCAACATCTCCAGTTTTTCAGTTTCCATATCGATGCTTCCCATTTCTGTTGTGGGCGACTTCAACGATGAACACAAATTAGATTTTACCTTATCATCTTAATATTTTCATATTAAATAGTAGTATGTGTTATTAAAACAATTAATATTTTATTATTGAATATCTAACTTGATTAAATATATGTTAAATAGATAAGTTATTCATATTTTTTTAAGGGACAACATAAGCCTCACTCTTTGATAAGCGATTAGGTGTGTAAGAATCAAATTGGCAAGTCTACTAAATTGAAAGTTTCAGTGATATTTAATGATATTGATCTATTTGTTTTATGATTTAATTAACTAACAAAAAATTAATAAATAATTAAAATAACTAATCAAAAGTATTTGTGGATGTAAATTTATGTAACTAGATGTCGACATTAATTTTTCAATTTATAAAAAATAAGTTTAAAAAACTTTTTGTTAATTAATAATAAATAAAAAATTAAGTTAAAACAAACTACTATATCTTTTAAGAAACCAATAGTCATCAATATTCTGTTTCTCTCTTAATATATACCTAAGATATAAGATATAGAAGATGAAAGTTTATTGAAGGGTTCTGAATTAGACCAGAACAATTCTGTGTTTTTAAAACTTATAATCATAGTGTTTTCAAATTTCTATTTACTTCGATTTTTTTCGTATGTTTAATCAATCTCTTCCCTATTAGTTAAAAATAGGTCTCTTGTTTCTTAATGCATTTGTATTTTAGTTTATCAATGCTTTTCTGTTTGATATGTGATTTATCTCATAAAATATTTAATAGACTTTTTCATATGTTTAATCAATTTGTTCGTTTCACTAAAAAATCTTTACAAAATTTACCATTTCGTAGACTTTTTCAGCTAAAATAATGTGTTTTTTAGATGTTAACTTCTTTGTTTTTCTTATATAAAATTACATCTATGCACTAATGAGTTAGTTATTACACAAGTAATGCAGCCGTTGTATTTGTAGAAATTTGTTGATGCTAAACTTATGCTATCATGACCATGCATGGTGTTCATGGTTCTCATGCATTGCTAACTAGATGCCAAAATCATCTTCATTAATCATACATGGTGTAATACTAGGTGCCTTAGGGTATAAGCTACTACTTCTTCTAATACTCTTCTATACGGTTGGACAATGGATCGGGTTGGGTGATTTTAGGTCTAAAAGTCTCGATCGGTCCAACCCGAAGTTGAACAATATAAGTTCATTTTCATTTATTTTCTTAATTAATTTGAACATGTTGGGTTAGAATAACCACAGATTAATACAAACGATTTAATCAGGCTATTGGACTGATATTTTTTTAAGCCTAATAACACATTTTGAGCTGCAAATTACTAGAAACTAAACCAAACATAAATTCAAATTATCAAGAATTTAAATTCAACATAAAGCTAATAGCCTATCATTTAATGTTCTATCAATGTCTTCAAAATAATTCCAACATAAATTCAAATTACAACATAAACAGTAACGAATCAAATAGGTTGTCATAATGCAGATAATATACATGAGAAAGCCAATAGTGTAGAAATAAGATAATCAAATGACCTTGCCAATATCAACCAATAGGGTATCAACATCTATAAGTGGCTCAGCAGGTGCAACTGGTTTTGAACTATCCAAGTGATTTCCATTTTGAGTAGAAAGTCCTGAAAAGAAACATTCATGCCTGGCAAGTACATGCATATAAATGATTCATCCCTTAAGTGCATTAAGCCTCTCTTTCAACAACAGCATGGCAAACTAAGCCACAATAGCACATTTTCACACTAAACATAGCAGAACTAACACTAAAGAGATGTAGAATGTTTGATTGACCAGGAGTGCATCATACTCCAGTTGCATAGCTTTATGCTAGTCTGGTTGAACAAGAGCTTGCTTCCATATGTGTGAGACGAGGTTTAGGCTTCGAATGACCTATTTTAGCTCTTGTCTGCATGGAATGATCATTGAGACGACGAAATGGGGGAATGGTAGAACTGTGTATTGAAGGCGACAATAACTCGGTAGATTATATCTAAAGCTAGTTTCATCAGCAAGAGTCGTGTTTGGACTTTGATGCATTGAAGAGTCTAAGCTATTAGACTGGGAAATTTTACTAGGATTGCTAAAATCACTTTTAGGCAAGGATCATGTCTAGGATTTTACTGAATAACGGGAGTGGGAGTTGATGATAGGCTATCGTCAAGCACAAATAAGGATGGTGCATTATAAATTGGACTAATGGGAGTGGCATTAGGCATTTGAGGAAGAAGTATTTGTAGGAGCGGGTGAAGGACATGAAGTGATTGAACTAGATGGAAACATATTTAAAATAGGAAAAGAACTCTCATAAAATACAACATCTTTAGAGATGAAAATCTTTCCACATCTATTAAGGAATTTATAACCTCTCTAGGTAAAACATTCTTGGATTATAAACTCTAGTATGTGCTTATTATAAGGTCTAATGAAAGGAAAGCCTTGAGAAACTAGGTAACTTGTGGTATAAGGAATGGTAGGGAGAATGAAATTTAGGTAGTCTTGCAGAAGGAAGCATGTTTATGACATGAATCGTTGATCCTAAAAGTGTAATGGAATGGATGAGTGAGATAACAAGGTTAGTCTCACCTCCACCAGAGACATGTGTTTTCTTTCCACAATGTCATTTTGGTGAGTTTATGTGATATGCCTAGCTTATATAGAAATTTAGTAAAAGGTAGTACCTCTTATTTATGGTTTAAGAAGTAAATCCAAGTATACTTTGTATGTGCATCAAGAAAACAAATATAGTAAACGAAACTAGAGCTTGAGGGATTAGGTGTAGGTCCCCAAAAGTTGGTGTACTAAACATTAAATTGAGTAACATATACATTTGAAGTAAGTGGAGCATGAAGCCTATGAGACTTGCCCAAACAACATGACTTACACATCATAGTAGTTTTTTATAGGAAATATCATTATTACAATGTTTGAGATCAAATTTAATGGTAGGGAAATGCCACAGGAAACTAGTACTAAGCTTAGGTACATCAAAAACAACAACACAAATGAAGAAACTGAATCATAATGTTGATGAGAAGAGATGTTTGAAGGCTTAAATAGTAGTTGCGGAAAGCAATACAGTCCATTTGAGTCAAGAAAACTTTCAAGTAAAGTGATTCTTGAAATCTAAGATTTGATGTAGCATTTGTCAACCATAAACTCAAACACAAGATGATTATCTCTAAAAAATTGAGACTAAGAGCAAGTTTCTTATGATGCAAGTTTAAGTGAAGTAATAAGAGAATACTTTGAAAACACATAATAGGAACCTACCCCATGAATTGTTAAGGGTTTACCATTGGCAACACAGACTTGACTATGTCCAACATATGATTTATTGGAGTGCAAGAAAGATGAATTACAAGTAAGGTGATGAGGAACACCTTAATCTACAAACAAATATTTGTTCTTAAGCACCTTAAGAAGAGAATATGCGTGAGTAGAAGTCGTCATAGCTAGTCCTTGGGAATCATATCATATGTGGAGGCTTTAGGTTTGTCAGTTGAGCTCTTTCCTAATCATACAAAGTTTGAGGTTCAGATGTACCATACATTTTCATAATGAACGGATGATACTCTTATGATAATCCATCAAGAATTGATTCAACTTGATCTTGCTTAGAAACAAAATCTCCAGCAGTTAAAAATGAGTTTTTGAGTTTCTTAACTTGAACAACATACTATGTGATGGAGTTATTAACTTGCTTGATGGAACTAATTTCAACTCCAAGTTTTTGAACTATAGCTTTCATGTGAGCATTGAAATACTTATGAATCATGTCCCACACTTCAAAATCATGCTTGCAAGAAAACACCCGAGGTAATAGAGATTCAGAAATAATGGAAAGAAGCCATATGAATATTTCTCGATCCTGCATTATCCATGTCTCATACTCATCTAAAACTTTGCCTATAACACGATCTTGTTCAGTCTTGAATTTCAACTGAATATAAGGGTTCACCTCTATTTTTTGCTCTCTTTGTGCAAGGATCACACCTTGAAATTGTTGATCCCATATCAGGTAGTTATTATCCTTCAATTTGATGGAAAGCTTTGTCCAAGATGATATCAAGAAGACGAAGGTATGCTGAAGTGATTGGGAAACTCATAACCAAACTTCTTGGCGATGCAACATTCGCAATGTGTGTTTTAAAGTGTAATCCAATTTCAAGTAGTGAATTACATTTCATTCAAGTGTCATGTGAGATTAGAGTGCATTTTAGTTTCATCTCAGATTATGAGTTTGTATATAAAGTGAATTTACATTCAGTTAGAAGTAGAAAATATTCATTTTCACTACGTCAAAATTGATTTTTGACAGCACTAAATAGACAGCGCTTTTACCCCAAAGCGCTACTATAATTTTTTTTTATTTAAAAAAATTATAAAAGAAAGCGTTGTTAAAGGCTATTTTTAGAAAGCACATCTCAAAAGCACTGCTAAAGGCCTTGCGTAGGCTACACTTTTAGAAAGCGCTTTTGGAAAGCACTGCTAAATACTCCCTTTAGAAAGCGCTGCTAAAGGTCATTCCTAAACTCAACCATAGAAAACGCTTCTATAAAGCTTTGTTATAAGGCTATGAAAAGAAAGTGCTTTTAGTGAAAAAGCGTTGTTAAATCGAATACATAAGAAAGCGCTGCCTTATGTGTTTAATTTCTGAAAAATAAAAACAGAAACACGTTAATATTGTAGAACCCTAATTTCTGAAAACAACTTTGATAGTCTCTCTATCTCTCTCATTTCTACTCCCACCGCCATATCTCCCTCATGCTACTCTCTCTCTCTCTCTTCGGTTTCTACCATTTCTGCCATAACTCCCTCCGCCGGTCGTATGTCCGTATCTTGGCAACTCCCTCCACCGCAACATACTCCCTTCGCCGTAAATCATTCTTTTTTCTTTCGGAACTCCTTCATTTTGAGCAAGGTATGTCTTTTTTTACTTTTTTGATCAAGACATTGATAATGTTGATGTGGTTGTT